ACTGTAGGGGAGGAGGTGGAGAATGGTTTGGAGTCTCCTCCTGCTACCTCCCCTACAAACGGCCCTGCAGTCAGCCTCCCTCCTGTCTCAGGTGAGGCTTGGCAGATGTGTGTGTGTGTGTGTGTGTGTGTGTGTGTGTGTGTGTGTGTGTGTGTGTAATGTCCAGCTTGGTTTCCATACCATTTCTCTGACACACAGCTTGCTTCAGTTTTCTCTCATGGACTCAGATGTCTGAGCTCTGCTTCTTGCCTCTGACAGCAACGTTCCTCCTCTTCCTGGTTCCTCACAGCAGCAACATAGCCAGGACTAAATCAACAATAATTTGAGTAATAATCAGTGAAAGACTTATTTTTATACTAATTATTCATACAAAAAAATGACTAAATTTGGAAGCATACAGTCATGTTTGATAAATTAGAATATTATTAAAAAGTTCATTTGTTTCAGTAATTATCTGTGGAGCTAAATTGGGGACTTGTACAAAAGAAAAAAAAACTTAATTGAAGAAAAATGTTAAACTGAAAAAAAAAAGATATACAGTATATATAGTGTATGATGCTAGTTTACCTCTATCCAAATAGAGAATGGCAAACTGAAACTGAAAAAAAAATCTTGAAAACCACATTTTAAATTCATGTTTTTGTTTACAGTTTCAATAATTTTTTTCCTTTGAACAAACTGTATGGTCCCAATCGAGGCGATTTCCTGCCCCCAGTTAATGAAAACATGACATTTAAGATTAAAATATGACATCACACCAATAAAAATACACTTTTAATACAGAAATGTGGACTTAATATAAAGTATGTTTAAAATCCTCTTAAAGTTTGGTATTTTTAATCTGGCAATCCATATTCTAATTTATTGAATTGTCTACGTATTCAAGAGTTTACCAGCAGATGGCGCTGTAGCAGCAGAAAATAACATAAAAGCTGTATTTACTTTTAAGATTAAATTACATACAGGTGGACTCTATTAATTAGATAGCTTCTGCAGGATTATATGTATGATATTTAACACTTTCTGAATTGGACCTTAGTGTATGATGCTAGTTTACCTCTATCCAAATAGAGAATGGTAAATTTTCCATCTATAACGCAACAAATGTGGAACATTTGATTTTGATTTGACCTCATCCATGTTCCTCTATTGAGCTGTGCTGAACAGAAGATCCTGTTAGGACGGCTGGAGGAGTAACTTTGGCTGTCGGTTGTTCCTAGTATAAGTAATGTTTGTTCAGGGAGACATTTTACCTTTAAATATTCGATTTAAGCATATCCAACATATGTAGGAAAGTATGAAGCATGCGACATGTGCAAATGTGTAAATATAAAGCTAGTAAAAATGTATGATGGATGACCGCTGGCACATTTCAGCTGCTGTGTTCTCTCCTTTAGCGGCTGTCTGGTCCTGTTGCTCCACACTAGTTGCGTTTTTTTCCATTGACCAAATCATTGCGCAATTTGACATATCGAAAATAAATTTTCTTAATGGAAATGTGGCAATCTCGAAAAAACTCTTGTTTTCTGATAAAAAGTTTTGCCACAAAACTTAAATGGAAACACTTTTTTCAGTCACATGGAGCCACATGATCGACAACCGGATGTTGCCGCTCGCGTGAGACGAAGAAGAAAACGGGAAGTAGTTTGAGCATGATGGGGCAGCATGTTTCTTAGTGGCTTATCGTGTGAATATACTTATTTATGTTTGATTTTAATTGCATTTCTTCTTTAATGAAAACACTGCAATTACTAAATTATTTTATCTACATTAGCGGAATACTAGCTGCATCTTCATTAACCATATAATTGAGCAAATTGTAATTCTGAAAAATAAAATTGCCTAATGCAAACACTCCAGTTTTTAAAATATATTGTGTGTTTTTGAGGAAAAAAAGTGTGCTTGAATGAGGTGGTTTTTCTGCTGTATCAAAATTAGTGCAATGGAAACCCTGTTTCGCATCACACAAGTCAAACAAACAACCGGATGTTAGTGAATGAGGAAAAGACAATGACGACAGGAAATGATAGGAGGATGATGACCTACCTTTAAATATTACCTTTAAAGTTACCTTTAAAGGTCGCAAGAACAAACTTTAAACTTTAATTGCGTTTCTTACTTAATTTTAACAACAAAATTGCAACATTGTATATTTTTCGACATTAGCAGAATATTGACAGTTTTGTAATGGAAGCGCAGCTTTTGAAACCAGTTGAAAACCCGTGTCCTGTAAGCGAGGATGTTCATCCGCAGACATTACCTGCATGCTGCCCCGCAGCAGCACCAAACCCCAGCTTCTGGTACACGCTTGCTTACTCTTTGATGCTTTCTCTGCTCCCATTTCAACCGTCTGTTGCAGCGATGGAGGTACACAACGACTCTCCGGTCATTCAGAATGGAGGCGACGAGGAGAAGCAGGTGACTAAAGAACTGGAGGAAGGGATGAAGGCGCTCTCGACCAACGACACCTCCTCCACTCCCGCCACGCCACCAGTCAAACCGCAGGGCGGGACCCCTGAGGGCTCGCCGTGCAAGTCTCCGTCCAAGAAGAAAAAGAAGTTCAAGCCGCCATCGTTCCTGAAAAAGAGCAAGAAGCAGAAGGAGAAAGTAGAGACCTGAGACGGGTCCCACAGACACGTCAGGCCTCGGCGAAGCGCCACAGGTCGTCACGTGTGACTGGAGCAGTCGACGGAACCGCATCACAATCATTCAGAGCCATTTCAATGTCGAACCCCCAGACACGGTATCTTAAGAGTGCCACTGCTAGCCACCGAATTTGATGTTTGTGGTGATTCATCGAGTAAGTTTAAAGAGCTCCTGTAACTACTTTCACCAACTGTTTGATCCAGGTCGGACACAGCCCAGCCATCCAGTTTGACTCACTACTTTCGATCACTCTCACGGTTTTCTGTACTCCACAAGTCGCCACTATCAGTTTGTCACTTCACCTCACTGTACAGGAATTCAACCATGTTTCCTCACTCAAAGCAGGCCTGTCACTTGGATCCTGTATAAGTGACACTTTAGTTTTTCTGACAATACACGTTGGAAGGTAAAGTGTGTTATTCATGTATAGCACTTAACATAGGTAGATCGATGTTCTTGCACGTCTTATTCTTTCATCATTATACATTTTCTCTTAGCCTTTGGTTGTAGTTATCATGTAGATGTTGCAGGTTTAGTCTGTGAGGACAGTCGCAGTATGTGTAGAAATCTACTGATAGCTATTGATTGTGCGGAGTTGACGGAAAGCAGGGAAATGTCGCCTAGCTACAAGTTAAGCTGCAATTTTAGCTGTTATTAACCACAAAGGTTAATCTAAAAAAAAAAAAAAAAAAAAGGTTGCTCATTATTGCAATCGGAATATACTGAGGGTACCCAACATTCCACTTTTCTTGTTTGGTTTTAAAACATACATGTGCAAAAGATCTCTTTCCAAGTAATATTTTTTTTCTGTTTGAACCAGTAGCTGTTATCAAACTGCTGATGTATGATGGTGGCTCATTGGTTTGAATTAATTTTCTATAAGAATGTATATGTGAGTGTTGCAAGGTTGCAATGTATCAGTCATTAAAGATCCAGTTAGGTTTCAAGTCCGCCGAGCGAAGCCTCCATGTGTGTATGTCTGCTCTCTTTGCCTCGTACGTTAAATTGACCAAACTCTAGCAGAGCCAAGTCCTCAGACCACTTGGGAACAACAAGGTAACAGCTTCAATGACAGTTCTATTAACGTTATTAAATCCAATGATAAAAATCAAGATATATTGATGTTATTGAACTAACCATAGGAACATTTTGTCCGTATCAACATGGTTTTGCAGTATTTATATCCTTGATCTCTAGTTTTAGTTGTATTCAATGGAGCCCTGCTTATTTGCCATTCAGTAAAGACTGATAATCCCACAATGAACTGCATTAGTCCACTATCAGTTTATAAAATAAGATTATCCTATATTAGTCCCACAAGGCAGAAAGTGGACAGAACCAAATAAGAGTAACAGATGACAAAACAGGAGAACAGTACAGAGCTGAAATCAACTTGAAATCTGAATTATATACAAAAAATGTTTATACACAAAAATTACAGATGCATACATATAAATGTATATAAATACACGCAAAACTATACATTTACAAACATGCACACACATATACACTGGCGAGTCATGACAGCAAATTTTGCTGAACGATAAATCGTCCCAAAAGTTATTGTGATAAATAATATTATTGTTTCGAGATCTTTTTCAAGTAATCATAATGATAATGGCATAATGATGCAAGAACACATTCTCAAAGATTAGTAAACTTTAAATTCTAACAAACATTTAACACTGGAACTGGAAGATAGTTTAAATAAAATAATTAAAACAACAAAATCATGCAAACTGAAATTACTGAGCTCGTTTTAATTGATCATGTGATTAATTGATTTATTGCCATATATGTGTATGGAGGCTTATCGCAATTTTTATCTTCTGCATGATTTATCCTCTAGCTCCAAAATTTTAAGGACAGTTTTGTTTACAGAGACTTCATAATTTGTTCTTTTTGTTGTTTTGTTTATTTAAAATATCCTCTAGTTCCAGTGTTAAATGTTCATTGGAATTTAAAGTTTAACAAAAATAAAACAATAGTATCATTTATCGCAATAACTTCTGGGACAATTTATCATTCAGCAAAATTTGGTGTTGTGACTTTGGTATATATATATATATATATATATATATATATATATATATATATATATATATATATATATAAAACATTTAATTGATTTCATTTAATTTAAATCATTTAAATTAATTGATTTATTGGGATATAATAAGGCTTATTGCAATAAGTCAATTAATTGCACAATATGCGATTAATTGACTTAATCGCATTACATACTTATATGTATATAAGTATGTACTTATATGCATGTATGTATGTGTGGATGTATGGATATAATAAACAGATATGATATATGGATGTGCTTAAGGCTTTATTTTTTTGCAGTAGAGGACATAAAGGTGCGCTTCCTTACATGGCTTCAGAAGGAAGTGAATCTTAATCATTTATTTTGTCCATTATTGTTTCGGACAAAAACAACCAATACGCCTTAAACAACTTAAGTTTCTTATTCTCCTCAAGAAGATTGTTGTTTTCCTTGGTCAGCTCCTTTACCTTCTCTTCCGCCTCAGAGTTTTGGTTCTGCAGTTGGTTTAGTTTTCTGCTGCTCTTGAAAACAGCCTCCAGACATTCGTCCAGCTTGTTAGTAAGCCCCTGCCTTTCTTCCTCTGTCCCTGTCAGGCTGTCTCTAACCATAGTCAGTTCTCTATCAAGCATAGACAATTTCTTCTCATTATTTGCTTCTGTCTCTTCCATTTGCTTCCTCAGCTGCTCCAGCTGATTGTGTAAAAGCTGATTTTCAGATTTGGCGTTCGCCAGCTCTGCTTGAAGAGCTGTGATGTCACCGTCTAAGCCTTTATTGACCTCCTTCAGTGACGCATTTTCTTTTTCAGACTCACTGAGATCCGTCTGGACGTCGCAGAGTTTGTCCTCGGCATCTTTGATCTGATCCTTGAGAGCTGACACTTGCATCAAGAGCTTTGCTTCATTGTCTTCCTTTTCTTTCACTTCCTTCTTCAAGCCTTTGATCTGCTCGTTTATGGTCGACACCACACGCTTGTTTCTCTTCCGATCCTTTTCAGATTGAAGGGAGAGTTTCTGTAATTCCAGCTCCATCCAATGTATGATATTCCGAGCTTTTATGGCTTCTTCTTTCATACCTCTCAAGTGCTCATCTTTGGACTGCAGTTCTGTCTGGAGCTGGTCACTCTCCAAGGTTTTCGCCTCGAGTAGCTCTGACAGCTCTTTGTTTCTCATCCTTTCTCTGCGAATCTCTTCCGTCAACATTTCATTGTCATTTTTAAGCGACTTTGCTTGGTTTCTGGATTTGTTCAGTTCATCCAAAAGTCCATTTTTTTTTCTCTGTAAACCTTCTACTTTATCGTTCAAAGTCGTCAATATCTCTTTGTCCTTTTCAGAAAAATTTTGTCGATCAAGCCTTTCAATCCGTAATGCCTTCTCGGCGTTCTTACTCTTTGTCTGCTCGCTCTGTAGGAGGTTCTGAAGTTCCTGTATTTTATTTAGGTTTTGCTGCTCCCTCTCTTTAAGATCGTCCTTTTGCTTCTTTAGCTGGCTTATGTCTGACGCCATTAATTTAGCTTCTTTCTTTAACTTGTCAAAACCTTCCAGATCTTTCGCTTGCTGCTCTCGCCATATTGTCTGAATGGCATTTTTGTTACTGAGTGTCTTGACTTCCTTTTGAAGAGCAATGTTCTCCTCCTGAATCTTGCTCAGATTTTTCACCCTTTCTTCTTCTTTGTTCTGCAAGTCTGAAATGGTCTCCTGCAGCTCTTTTATTTTGTCCTTGCGAGGCCCTTCCTCTTTCAGCCCGTCTTTAAACAGCCTAATCTCTTTTTGTAGTTTCAGATTGTCTTCGACTAAACTTGCTATTTCCTTCTTACATTTTTTGTTTTCCTCCATGAGCAGTTTCTCATTCTTCTCGGACCTCAGCAGGGCCTTGTTCTGTAGTGAGCTAGCAGCCGGAAACATTTTGAAATGCTTTCCAAAAACGAGCTTCAGTCAGGTTCCTTTAGGATATGTCTTGAATTTGACGGGTTCCGTCAATGACTATGACGCCACCACATTCCATGTTTAGCAATGACTTAAATGCATTCCTATGTTGCTATGGTGATATCACTGTTATGTCACATATCCAGGGGAGACCATCCGCCGTTTTACAATGCCATTGCCATTTAAACAATATTGAAGGACATCTGTGGGACAGCGTGTCCTTATGTGCACAGATGATTTGGTTATTGTTGGTCCTTTCTTGTTCTGGTCCTCAACAGGTATTGAGGACCTGCTCACAGTAATAATAATAACAATAATAATAATAATAATGCATCAAACTCATGACAACAGTGCACTGAAGAGTAAGATCATGATTATAGAAATAGGTAGAATCAGAAATTTCCTGAGTCCTCCTTTTCTGGTACTGTTCCTAAAGGGTCAGTTTTATGTAAAATGGACTTTTTGAGCTTTTAATCAATCCCCACTCAGGTCCTTCAGACTAGCCAGCAACAATTGGCAAACACTGCTAAAGTTAGCTAATCTGCTGTGCATCTGCTGCATCTGCTGAGCTCATTATATGAGCCACTTCTCAGTGCAATGCTGGTAAAAACGTTAGTAGAGTTAATAGGGTTAATAGAGAAGCCATGTTGGGATGACTTCCTTCAGAAAGAGCAGGAGTTTTTAAAGAGACAGAGGCCCAATTTTAAGGCGCTAAATTACAAATGCTGTTATAAGCGTTTGTAAATTTAAATCATATTTGACATGTGCAGCATATGTATAACAACTGAATTGAACAGTTTCTTGACTGTGCTGTATAATGGCACTATGTACAGTGCCATTATATGACTGGAAAATACATAATACTGTCTCTTTAAAGTTCATGCTGCTATTAAATACCAGGCATATTATATAACTAATGATCTGGCCAATGATTTAGACATTTACCAACATTTACCATTGTTTAATGTATGAACAGGAGAAGGGCTCAGCAATTGTCTCAGTCAATGACAACCTGTGAAACAGACCACAGTTTGTGAGACTAGCTGGTCATGTGCCTAACCAGGTAGTCAGCAGCACAGGAGCACCACAGGGCAGTGTACTGTCACCATTTCATTTTTTACTCTGTACGCCTCAAACTACCAGTACAAAACAGACTCCGGTCATCTGCAGAAATACTCAGATGATTCTGCAATTGCTAGGTGCATCATAAATGGTCCAGAAGCTCAGGACAGAGAGCTGATATGCTTTGTGGTAGGACATGTACTGGAACTGCAATTTCGTTGTCTTTCTGACAATGACAATAAAATTCTTCTGATTCTGATTCTGATATGGGAACACTCGTCTTATCTTGAATACAAACACAACAGTCATGATTGTAGATTTCAAGAAAAACAGGGTTAGGAAAAACAATTCTATCATGGAAGAAGAAGTGGAGATGGTTGAGGAATATGAATACCTTTGTGTTCACACCTGGACAACAGACTGGACAGGAGACACAACAGTAAAGCTGTTTACAAGACAGGATGAAGCAGACTGTACTTCTTGAGCAAGATTAGGTTCTTGGTGTTTGCAGCAAGATGCTGCAGATCTTCTATACGTCTTTTGTGGAGAAAAATAATCTCTTCTTCCAGAGTCAAGGAATGAGAAATGCTAAAAAAAACTTAATAAATAAGATTTGTACTGTTTTGGGGGCAACTATGAAACCTCTAGAGATGATGGTACAAAATCGTATTCTTCAAAAAAAATCAAGAAAACCCAGAGCATTCTCTAATGAAGCTGTTATAGAACAATGTCTTTATTCGGTAGCATGTAACGTCACTGAATGATGAACCAGCTTGCTTTAACCCTAAATTTATGAGATAGACAAATATCTACAGTTTATGGCAAGCTGAGACAGTTTGTTCATCTGCCAGATTTGTTTTAATTTTATTTTGTGCCATTTGGAGATCAAGAAGACAATGGAAGAAATTTACCCTGTTCTAACATACATTAGCTATTGTAAGTAATGGGTTTCATGAGTCTGACATTGAAAAAACATGATTTGGAAAAGTGTTTCTTCTGCATGTATTTGTTATTTACATATTACATGTTATTTATTTGAATCTTTTCCCCCCACTTTGGTATTGAAAATACCAGAATTTGCGCGTTTTTCTGATGCACCATTTTTAAGCATTGCATTAGATATTATGATCATAACAAGCATCTTTTTCAACAAATCATTTTATTTATTCCTATTTGAGTAACTTTTTTACTTTTACTTGAATACAGTTTTTAGTTACTCTTTATCTCTGCATTCATGCTCAGTATGAGCGGATGTGAACTCGGGCAGAAACAGGATGTCATTGGTATAGTCGGAGACCTTCCAGCAGGGGGCGCGAATGCAACACTGCACATCCTGAGAGGTTTTGTGAAACGGAACAGAAGAAGGTACTTCCTGTTGTCCGCTGTGCTGTGTTTTCACATAAAATTACAGGTAAGACAAATTAACGAACCTGCGGCTCTCCGCGGACTTCTTCATTATGACTGATACTTTTTCATTTTACCGAAACGTGCTGGAATTGCATTGGTTTCTTAAAATATAGCCAGAAGGTAAAAGGAAACGTGTCTTAATGTTGCGTTTGGCACGGTTTTATATGGCATTTTACAACACATTTTGTGAGTGCAACATTTCAACAGGTGTGTCAGCAATAAACGAGCCCTGTATACTGCTCACTCTAGTAGCAGGGAAAGCTAATATCCTGAGTTCAGTGTAAATGTGACATTTTCATTCATTTATCTTACGAATCCTAAACAGGTGACTATATGTTCACATCCGGCCTCTTATCTAGACTTTTACAGTCAGACCAACCTTTCGGCTCACAAAAGTTACCTTCTGGTTTTAATTTTGACGCGGTGTAAAACTTTTCAGACTAAACTCCTGATTTAAAGCTGTACTCCAAAACAAGCGTAACCAGTTCGTTTCAAGAACCAAGTCCCACCACAAACGACCTAAACAACTTCTGTTTGTTTTTTTTTGTTAAACAGTTAGGACAGCGCAGGTTGCTGTAAAACATCTGCTGTAATAAAGACCTTATACTGCCATAAGCTGCACCAGATTGCATCTGCAAATCCTTACTAACCAAAGCTGACGTTGCTCATCAGCCACCCTCTGCTCAGCCTTGGTGAACAGAATGTGTTTCTTTGTATCCCTCTTATTATTGTTATGTTATTATGTTATAATGGACAGAATTGGGAAAAATATTTCGATTATAAGCAACAACAGAAAAAGATCGTAGAGATTCACAAGTTAGTGGCTAATTTCTTATATTTTGATAAAGTGTTGACCTCTTTGCAGTTGTTTCTTTAAAAACTCGGGCTGGCCAATAAATCCTTAGCGGTAGACATCGACACATGAGCAATGTGAATAGAAAAATACATCAGACAGATTGTTAAATAATTTCACTGCGCTCTAAGCTTGAACCGCACAGCATTCTGGGGGATGTAGGTAGAGGAAAGGCTTTAAGCCTCCCAACCTTTCACGGACAGAGCAAGTTTTTTGTTGTTTTAAAACAAAGTCAAAAATATCATTAAGTTAACATTTTAAACCTTTAAGCAGTTAGCTTAAAGGTGAGCAGTGCCACTAAGGCAGTCATACTTTTATTCTAGAGGACATAAAACATTAGCGTAAATCTTACCGGTTTTCTAGATTACCAGCATCTCTTCCATGCAGCTTAATTAGTGTCAAACTTTAAAACCACAAAGTGATGAAACAGTTCAACTTGGCTGTACTTTGTTCAGTACAGCCAACCTAAACGAACAGACATGTTTTCATTTGTCGTAGAAAACATCTTTTAAATTGCTTCTTATTAGGGCTACTAATGATTACTTTAGTTGTTGAATAATTAATCAGTTATTCTGATGATTAATTGATTAATTGAACTTAAAAAATGGGCATATTTTGTAGATTTGCCATTTCAACTTTGTATATAATATTATAAATCAAAAGATGCAAATAAACAAATAATGCATTTATTTGTTTCTTAAATAAAAACATAATAAAAACTAAAACGCAACAAAATAGCTTTTCTTTAGTGAACAAAGGATGCATCTGCAGCTAAAAAAATGAATGACATCAGCATGTGAAAATCTCAGCCCTTTTTGCTTGACTTAACATCAGTATTGTGTAAATCTGATCTCTTTGTTATTTTCTTTATTAATCAATAACAATTGGATAGCAAAAGGTGCTTAATATGTTTTTTTTTCTTCTTCTTTTTTAACAAAATTTGAACCAGTCCGTATTTCCAGACAAAGTTTGTTTTTTAATCTTAAGTGCAAAATGTACCTATTTTGTTTGTCCAATTTTGGCTAAATTAATTTCTGACATTTTAAAAAAATTTTTTAGCTTGTGTACTCCAGTCATCAATTAATCAATTGTTAAATTAGTTGGCAATTATTTCAATAATCAGTTTATCATGATTAATCTGAATGCATAATGAATGCAGTAGCATTAAATACCATTAATGCTGCTTTTAAATGATTTGTCAAAACTAACAGATGAATTCGTAAATATAGCTGCCAGGAGGGGGCCCTAAACGGTCAGGAAATGTCCTCCTGGCCTTGGTGTCCAGAAAGGTTACGTTTCTGTTGTTTTAATCTCAATCCTCTTTAAGTATGCGCTCGGGTTGGAGTCCCTGCAAATGCCCTGGAAAGCCAGCTGGTTAAATTGGAAAGTTTCAGCATCACATGCTGAAGGATTGTCTTAGAGGCCCATCTGCTTTTATTCACATGCTGTCCGTCACTGTGTGTTTTTGTGTGTGTGTGTAGGGATGGCTCAGTGGGGGGCCATCTTCTCCATAGTAGCTGCTCTCAGCGGAGCGGCGCTGTTGGCCTCTGTGCATAAAATCGATGAAGGACACACCGGCGTGTACTACAGGTGAGCCAAAAGGATCATATTTTGCTTTGCCCGGAGAAAGTGAGAGCAGAGGGAGGAATCTGAACAGCGAGAGCCAAGAGATTCCGCACATGCCAACTCTGCTTTGCTTTTAGGGCAAATAATTATTACCACCTGCATTGACATGATTTGTTTCCATAGCGTGCTATGATGTATAAACCTCTTTATTTTTCCCTTGCTTCAGTGAACTGTTGATAGAAACTGACACTATCTTGTGATTCTTATTAAAGTTGCCGCACGTTGGTAACGTTTGCCTTGGAAGTCGCTCTTATCTCAGTTACAGTGAAGCTGCTTGATTATTAATGGGACATTTTCTCCAATCAGAGTTCAGATTCAGAGAGCAGCTGAAAAGAATAGAAGTGAAGTGAAGCACTGCGTCGCCTGCGAGTAGTTTTGCAGTTCCTGTTTCCAAAATGCGGCAGCCCTGAAAGTTATCAATGCTTTCCATCCAACTGTAAATATGTAGTTGGTTTTTTTTTCCTTACTTGAATATTGCTCTCAATCCACCCTTCTTGTGTATCCCAGGGGAGGGGCTCTTCTCACTGCCACCAGCGGCCCTGGTTTCCACCTTATGCTCCCGTTCATCACCACCTACAAGTCTGTACAGGTCAGTACAATTAGATGGGGCATCTCAGAATCCTCACCTTTTTGTTTTTAAGATTAAAGTAGCCCATATCA